ACTCACCTCAGCCTCCCAAAGGTGCGGGATTACAGGCTGAGCCACCGAGCCCGGCTCGTATGTGTATCTTTTAACTTGTTCCTTAATTTCCTTCAGTTTAGGCAAAATGGAGTGAATGGCATGTATATTCCAGAAGGAGACCAGAGTTGGGAAAAAAACTTCCTTTGCAGAAATAGAGTCTCCCTTATTAGAGGGGCTGTGAAATAAATGGGCCTTTCAGAATTCTCTAAATCTATGGGGGTTTCTCCCCTTTTTTTGAAAAGCAAAAGAGAATGAGAGATCTCTTTCTAAGGCAAGTATGGATTCAAGAGGTATATGGACTCTGAAAATGTTAAAAAAAAACCCAAAACAAAACAGAATTTGTTTCTTGACCCACAGACTCTCACTTCTGCCACATTATTCGACTATACATTCACACGAGTCTTTCCACAAGAATCCGGGCATCTTACCAGCTGAAGACACAGCCGGTGGCCAGAAGCGGCAGAGTAATGAACTGCATTGTATCCCTGCTTGTCTCGAATCCCTGGATTTGCATCGTTTCTTAGTAAGTATTCCAGGCACCTAGACACAATAAAAACATATTGAAATTCTAAATTCTGTATTTTAACCAATGACAAAGAGAGCCTGAAATTAAAAAGTGACAATTTTTCTTATAATTGAGTATGTAAAAAATCACAAGTATCTGTATCTACACTATACAAACCTGTCATTTAAATGGCATTTGTAAAGTATCATAAAAGCATAAATGAAATGTTCCTAAGAGATCTTCCTGGCTCAGAGTGGACACTTCTCAAGTCTGTCAAAGGTTCAGGATACCTGCCTAAAGGCTCTTTCTCACACAGTCACTGACATGGCACCATCCATCTCCCTCAAACAGTGTTTCATAGACTTAAGCTCCCACTGGTGATGAGCACATAACGTTGGCAAGACTGCTGCCTATCTATCTGGTACACAGAATGAGCACAATTTCTCCTCAGAAGCAGAAGAAAGGATGTTAAAAAAAATTAAGAAACCAAGGTCAGATCCAACGAACTTGTATTGGAGGACTGAGAGGTGTATGACCAGTAAAAGTGGAGAAGGCGACAAGAATGGCCTTCCCATGAGAGAGGCTTTTGTCATCCAAAATACTATGAGGCTCACAGTTTGTTATACGACAAAACAAAACAGCTACTGACGTAGAAGTGAACAGATCTGTCCTTGGCTTGGTACCAGTGATCTTGGACAAACTTTGACCTTTCTGGTGAAATGGCCTCTGATTCATTTGATAGGTGGGGATGAGGAAGTTAACTGAATCTTCTAACGTCCATTCATGTTCAGATTCCAAGTCTATAATTATCTGGTGGTAATTTGTCTAGTATGCCAGTAGTCTCCCAAATATTAATTACACTACAGGAAAAATTTCTACAAAGACTTGTTAAAAATTCAAGTTTCCAAAATCACACTGAAGTTATTATATAAAAACAAATAAAAAGAAATTCTAAAGCTATGTGAGTGATCTAACTGTGTGTGCGCGCATGCACCTTTCTTTTAATGCTAACTCTTATTTCTTTAAATGATGGATTGCTTAAAATCTTTTAGATCTCTTAGAAATTACTTTTGGAATCTTTATTTATTACCTCTTCAATAGTAGTAGATATTCATTCTTTTAAGTGAGATTTTGATACAGCTATAAGTTTTTTGTACAGCTAAATTTTGGCACAGCTAATCAAGCATGATAAATAAGACTACATAACCAGAAAAGAAATAATAAAGTGGACATCACCATGATAAGAAAACAAAACAAAGCCCAACCAATTCTAAAGTAACAAGCATGCTGTTGTCTTGAAGTACCCCACACAAGCTCTGCGGCACGTCAGGAAAAGGAAGTATTTAGGGAAGCATGCAGGCTCTGTGCGTCCACGGCTCTCTTGGGTAACCATTCAGAGGACGGTGCTCACTGGGATGCAGAGAGGCCTGCGGGTCGCTAGGTAGCTCCACTCTTTTACAGGCACATTTAACCCGTGGGCATTAAAACAAAATCTTTCATTGAGTTCTCCAGGTGTTGGGGATAAACCAGAAATGGTTCTCTGTTTCTGAGACGTGAGGACAAGACAGATTCGATCAGTGGAACATCGATCAGTGGAACAAATTATTTTACAATAACTCACGGATACATGAGCCCTGAAGATTTATTTAAGGAAAGGAGAACAAGTAGGTGAGTTCATGCTTACTTTCTGAAATGCCAGAGTATGTCCCAGTGCATTACTCACAGTGACTACTTTCAAGTTTATGGCATTAAATGGCTTGAAATGATTTGTTACACATGCAGTAGTTCTCATAAAATCATTATTTCTTTGCTTTGTTACATTCACGTTATGCAGGTGCTTGGGCTCACGTCACAAGACAAATATGAAGTTGATTTATACTAGTAACATTTATTGTATTGGCTTGTCTTTTAGATTTGGCTGAACACTGTGAATGTTCATAATTACCCTGAGATGCGCCAGGTCAGCAACATCTTCAACAGATGTCAGAACACAGCAGACGAAGGCCCCAGCATTTCTAGGGTCAGTCATCTCTGCCTCCGTACCCATAAGGCTTCTGTGCAGTAGCTGCCGAGTGGCAGTGATAATCTAATGTGGGTGCTTATGAAATGCTGATGCAACTGCTTGATTTTGAAAAGGTGGACCTTCACTGGGGTGGGAGACTGCCTCTTCTTTTTCTTCTGATTGTATATTGACACGTGCTCATGTTATACAACTCACACAATTAAGAAATGGAAGATTCTCTACAATCTTTCTGTCTCTTAAATAAAAATATATATGCAAAATCCGAAAGAATATTTATGGCTAGATAATAAACGATTCTTGCTGTTGTCATTTTTTTTTCAATGTTAGACAAATTAAGTGTCTTCAGTCCCATTAAGCACACAGGCTGAATCAGAGTGTGCACTGACCTACTCAAATGTCTCCTCCTCTTCCTCTGGCATCCATGAATCCCTACGAGTCTGAGCTCTGGCACAAGTTCAGACCAATTCAAGTGCTTGTGTCCCAGGGCTGGTCAGAGCCCTGGGTAAGGACCACTCGACCCAGAAAAAGGGACAAGGCACTATTCCAGAGGCGTTCCCTCCTCTCTACTCTCCCCATCATGGTGCTCGACAGGGCCTCCTCTTATCAAAATAAATAAATAAACAAAAACCATACAAATTCATTTTAAAAACACAGTTAATTCTTACAGGAAGATTAGAATGTGTCAGGAATGTTCCAAGCAATTTATACATACTAACACTATTTAAATCTCACATGACCACGACTATTATCTCCATTTTACAGATAAAATTAGCACAGAGAGGTCAAGTAACTTGCTCAAGGTCCCACAGTAAAAGGCAGAGGTAGTTACCAAGCCCAGTCTTGGTTTACCTGTATATAACAGAATGAGTTTAACAAAGTTGCTGAATGTAAGTCATGTTTAAAAAGCAAATAAATTTCCACATACAACCAAAAACAAAAGGAAATTTAAAAATTTAAAGGAAACTTATTTATTTTTGGCAATAAAAGTATCAAATATGTAGGAATAAATCTAAGGTATAAAAAAGCCTCTATATAAAAAAACTGCATTATTCCATTTATATAAAGTTTGAAAACAGACAAAAGTGAACTATACAATTAGAAGTCAAAAGTGACCCCATTTCATAAGGCTGCTCTGGTCTGGATGTTTGTGTCCCTTCCTATGGTGACATTCCAACCCAAGGTGACAGTAAGAGGAGGTAGGGCCTCTGAATGGGAAGAGGGTCCTCAGGGGTGAGGCTCCAGGGTGCTCCTTTAACTTCCAGCCGTGTCTGGATGCAGTGAGGATCAGCCCTCAAAGAGGCAGTGGTCCTTAACAGACAGCACATCTGCCAGGTCCTGGATCCTGGACTTTCCAGTCTCCAGAACTGCAAGAAATACATTTCTGTGGTTCACAAGCCACCCAGTTTTTGGTACTTTGTTACAGTAGCTGGAATGAACTAGGAGAATTAGTGGTGTGGAGTAAAAGTAAAAGGCAATAAATATTTTTAAATGCGGCCAGGGATCTGGAGCTGTAATGGATAGATGCTGGGAGAATCCCAGGGTTCATGCTATAGAGCACATCCCACACATTTTTTACAAGCACATATGATTACGTGTGATGGAAGTGGCCGTGACATGGCATTACCAGGGCTTCAAAGGACATGGAATGGTCCCCTTCCCCCCCAACACACGCACACACACAGAAGCACACAAGTGCTGATGGTGCCCACCTCCAGGAGGGCTGGTGTGAGGAGAGTTTCTTCCTGGCACAATTAGGAAAACCCAACCTTCCCCCACTGGCTCCAAGGTAACTCTTACACTGGCAGAGAACTTATTATTAGTATTTGGTATGTTTAATATGTTTCTTGTGATAGCAGCCATATGTGGTGAGCTGGATCCATATATGATGTGAAATAAAGACACTTCAGGGGATCTGCTGAGTCACGACTGTGCAGAGATTGCAGGCGTCAGGATGAGGGAGGCGACTAGCGGAACGAGTCAAGAAAGGCTTTTCCCAACACTTACACTGAAAGGGAGGCTGGAGGACATAAGGCAGAGAAGAATTACAATTACTCTGTGTCACTCCTGAGCAGCAGAAAACCAATGTCAGACTGTCAAAAATTCCAAGGGAGCTGGGCTCGGTGGCTCAGCCTGTAATCCCGCGCCTTTGGGAGGCTGAGGTGAGTGGATTGCCTGAGCCTGCGGGTTCAAGACCCGCCTGGGCAGCGAGACCTCATCTCTACAATAAATCAAAAAAATCAGCTGGACGTGGTAGCGCATGCCTGTAATTTCGGCTACTCGGAAGGCTGAGGCGGAAGGATCGCCGGAGCCCAGCAGGTCGAGGCTGCGGTGGCCGGGAGCGGCCACTGCACTCCAGTCTGGGCGACAGAGTGAGACTCCAACTCAAAAAAAAAAAAAAAAAATTCCAAGGGATACATAACAACTTTACCTTGGGAGATCTGGAGGTAGAAATTGTGATGCTGACGGGGAATTAGTTAGAAACAAACAAAAACCTTTAAAAATAAAAAGCAAACACACATTGTTGTCTGTAGTAATTTGAAACTACAGGGAATTTGTTTTCAGAAAATGTTTCACTCTTGGTTTGGCAGAATGAATTAATTATACCAGATTCTCTCATTACCCAGTCTATCCCTGGGGATTAAGTTCTCAGAATTCAGAAAAATAAATGAATGCTTTAATGTCACTTTTTAGGCCTCCAAAAAACGATCACTTTCTAAAAGGATGACTCTGGCACCCCAGAAAGGCTACTGTGGCGTACACCTTCCAGAAGGTTCCCAAGGAACAAATCAATCAATCAATAACTGCATCAGATATGATCTCTGGGATTCTGACGTTTCAAAGAGAGGAAGCAGAGGCTCCAAGAAACAGAGCTAGATTCTCCTATACACAGTCTCATTTTGTTTTTCCCACAACTCCAGCAAGTAGCTTTCAGTATCATTTTACAAATAAAGAAACTTTTGTTCAGCAATTACTCGCCCAGGCTCAAACAGGTACAACACGGAAACCCCAAGACTTAAACTGGTCTTCCTGATCCAAAGCTCATGTCCTTGCGAGCAGGCTGCTCAGCATAGACACAGAGGATTAATGTTTAAATAACAAAAGTTACTGGCAGACTTGCTTTACATTAGGTGAGAAAAGCAGTGATTTAATTCACTTGAGTACTAGTACACCTCTGCAAAAATAGCAGATTGGTTTAGGATGAAACCAAAAATCCCCAACACTATGGCTGGACACTACGTTATCCCTTTGCTTTTGGCATGAGAATTCAGGCTCAACGCCTTGGGCAAACTGTTTATGAAACAGTTTATGCCATTCTTGTTTTCACCTACTCTCGCCACATCCTTCTTTTTTGAGTTGGAGTCTCACTCTGTCGCCCAGGCTGGAGTGCAGTGGCACACTCACAAGTCAGGTGACCTGTCCGCCTCTGCCCTCCAATTAGCTGGAACTAGAGGCACACAGTACCACGCCCAGCTACTTTTTGTATGTATTGTAGAGACGCGGTCTTCCCAAGTTGCCCAGGCTGGTCTTGAACCTGTGGGTTCAGGTAATCCTCTCGCCTCTACCTCCTAAAGTGCTGGGATTACAGGCTTGAGTCACTACGCCCGGCTCACCTACTCATTCTTGGCAAACATTTACTTGCTCTGTCATCTAATTTACTTATTTAAGTAATATGTAGTATCAATTATGTGCCAGAGTCTGCCAGTTCAATTACTACCCTTTTTAGATACCAATTAACAAGAATTTCTTGCAAACCTACATTCTCTACTTCTGAAAGATGCCAGTATCCCAATCTCTAACTAATCTTCTGATGACACTGTTCACGTATCTTTTCCCCTTTCTCCAGGGTGAACTCAAGGCTGCATGAGAGGTTGCATGTAAACAAACATGAGAGTGATACAAGATGTCCTTGTGGCAGGGAGGACAAGAAGGGATCTCTTCTTCCTTCCACCAGACCAGCCAGTAAGGCAGGCTGCTGAGCAGAACAAGTAGTCTTTACTAAGATTTAGGCATATCCATGGAACCAATTCATTTCCCTAAATAGACTCAGGGGAAAGAAGGTCAACAAAAACTACAAAAAAGCGATATAAATTTGCAATAAAACAGGCATCCACTGGAAGATCCCCACACGGTACTCACTTGCCATCTGTGTCGGACGTAGCTGCGTAGTGCAGGGGTGTGCAGCCTCTTTCGTCAAGGTCATTCACGCTTGCTCCTGATCCCACAAGAGCAAACAGGCACTGGTAATTGCAGTTGGCAGCAGCATAGTGCAGTGGAGATCTTTTGTGCCCAAGTTTACACAAGAAAGATAAAAGCCAGGGACATCATTTGTGAACAGAAGCACAGCTGACTCCTACTCTACTCAGTGGATACTACTGTCTTTACAGTGACTTCGAATGACCTTTGCCGTATTTTATGTCTTGTGGAGGCTGTATATAAAGCTAGAAGAACCTTTAACATTTGAAATGGAACAGAAGTATGGTTAAGCTACTCCGTGGTCCTGGACAGCAGTGATCCCAGTCCTGAGTAACCACAACCTTCGCATCTGCTTAGAAACTGGAAAGCTTTCATTTTAACAAAATTTCCCCTCTACTAATAAAAACATCCCATAGTGTGGAGGTGGCCATCTCTGTCCATATTTCAGTAGAGGAGTAAGAAAATGCAACAAGTCCCGAATGACCTTCAAGGCTCTAAACTCAGAATATGTTCCAGCGGCCCTCTGTTATTTGTAGTATGGAATGCTGAAGCACTACAAATTAACCAATATAAATGGAATTAAAGTACGATTACAAAAACCAGTCAGCTACAAAAAGACTGCCTTCCAAAACCAAACAAAGTGATTTTTTTATTTTGTGCATCCTTAGTTCCTTCCGTTTGCAGGCATAGGAGAGCAATCGGTTCCTCAGAGTAATTACAGACCAAACAGCAGTTTTTTTCTCTTCTTCATCCACTTCTGGCCTCCTACCACACAAAAGCCTTTTTACTGCTCGTCCGTACTGGTCCAACCACGTGTACCAACACACATTCACTCGCACACTTCCCTCTGACACACATCCTTCCTCATCATACGCTTCTGACCGGCACATTCTCCAACTGCTGACACACAGTTTTGCCTGCATCGCCACCTCCACCTTTCAAGTCAGTTTAAACTGCTTTCAATTCTTTCCTGTGTGGTTCTAATGCACTCTGTGTCAATTTCTACTCGAAGGAACTTAACAGGTAACAGTTTTAAACACTGCTGCCACAAAAGCTGGTAACAACGAGGCTGCAGCTGAACAGTGAGTGAGCTTTGGCTCAATGACAGTCAAGACTGTCACTTCACAGCTGCCTTCCTCCTGCTGTGAGGCACTTGGTGGGATGTGTGGATGTGTGTGTGTGAAATGTATATAGGAGAGGAGAAAGAAAATTGCATCCATACATTTAGAGCTGATTTCCTCCCTCTTACTAATGCTCTGTCATGAGACATGGGTAGTGGAATCTCTCACAAAAAAATGACTCAGGGAAAGAGAGCTGGCCATCATGTTCTAGGTATTAGAAACATAAGTACTATAGGGTTGACATGCCGTGGCCATAATGATGGAAGGGGAAGAAGTGAGGTCAAGAGCACAGAGGTACTTCTAAGGCCGAGGCTGTGGTTGGTAGAGACCCAAGAGGAAGAAAACTGTGCGTGAGAATGAATACTTCAGAAGTTACTGACTTTAGTTTGAACTCTCAATGAATTATGATCATAATTCAAAAGACACTGAGTTATTCTGTCAATTTTCAGAAGACAGGGAGAAGCTCAAACAAGTCACAGATCATACTAGGCTCTACAGAGAAACTATAGTATTCCCTACCTCCCAAATTTGTCCTTTTTGTTGAAGTCTGCACCAGTATTCAGCAGAAGGTTTAGGCACTCCAAATTCCTATTAATGAAAAATATAATTAGAAAACTCGATTGTCAGTGATCTTAAAAAGAAAGTGGGAGGTTTAAATAAGCATAAAGGCAAGTTTTAAAATGAGGATAATGTGAACAAAATGCCGTACACATTTGATGAAGAATGAAGCATTAAAATTCATCTTACCTAGAATCTTAAAAAGTTATATACATATATACATATATATTGGCACATTGATAGGAAATTCACAAAAGGAAATAATAAATGGTTCATGATGTCACTGTTTAAATGGAAGATCACTTTTCTAAAAAAGATCCTGAGGAGTTCTGAGAATATAACATGCTTATCATAACCACATGGCTTAAATTTTAATCATTCAAAAAGTGGCTTTTAATATTACATTAAAATAGGTGATAGAACCAAACAAACCTGAAAACACAAACCTGATAACATCCCAAGTCAGCTCTGTTTTTGAGATGGGGTCTTGCTCTATCATCCAGACTGGAGCGCAGTGGTGCAGTCATGGCTCACAGCAGCCTCGAACTCCTGGGTTCAAGCGATCGTCCTACCCCAGCCTCCTGAGCAGCTGTGATCACAGGCATGCACCACTGCACCTAGCCCAAGTCGACCTTCCCTTGTCTTCTCCTATACTATGACTGCTACTTAGATTTATCTTTAGCTAAAACAGCAGGAGAAGCTGGGCTCGGTGGCTCAGCCTGTAACCCCAGCGCTTTGGGAGGCTGAGGTGAGTGGACTGCCTGAGCCCGTGGGTTCGAGACCCGCCTGGGCAACTTGGGGAGACCTCATCTCTATAATAAATCAAAAAATTAGCTGGGCATGGTAGCGTGCGCCTGTAGCTCCAGCTACTTGGAAGGCTGAGGTGAAAGGTCGCTAGAGCACAGCAGGTCGAGGCTGCAGTGGCCGGGAGTGGCCACTGCACTCCAGTCTGGACAACAGAGTGAAACTCCAACTCAAAAAAAAAATTGCAGGAGAGTATATTACATATGTGGGCATTTCTGTAACTTAATTTTTATAAGCCTGAATGAAACTCACTATGTTACAAGAAAGCTGTAACTACCATGTGACAGACACTCAAGCCTGTTGCCCTCTGTAGGCGAGCTGTATGGGTTAGGCTCTCTGGTGACCCGGAAGAACAAGGGAGCCAGTCACATGCTCACAGTGCATCCCTGCCTCTCAGACTGGCCTCAGCGCATTTGTCCCCTAAAATGACTGAGAAATTTTAAGGAATTATCACAGAGAATAAACATCCTTCAGACAAATCCTGAACTAAACGGCATCCCACAGATCTAAATTATCAGGAGCATTAGAGGGGCAGCTAGTTTTCAGAGACCAAGAGTTTTAGTTGAAGTTTGTTTTCATTTGAACCAACTGCTTAGTTTACCCTAATAGTAATATATTTAAAACTTAGTCCCAAATCTTCTAATCTCAAGTTTTCCTCTTCCAAGTAGAGGCAAGACAAACATAACATCAACATTTTTACATGAATTGTTCAGAACATTCCCAATATTTTGATATTCTCATTTGAGGTCATACATCTTTTATTTTAAGAAATCATGTGATTACTTTTTCGTTTATCCAGAAACTATGTTATTTTGCAGAAGGCAATACTTCCTCTTGTAGGTTTATTCTCTCCCTTCCACTCACAACACATGACTTAGGTGAAGAAAATGAAGACAGTCATTTCCACCCCTTTGGACTTTCTTTTCCCAAACCATTCCGGTTTTGTTTTGTTCTCAATTTTCTGGTAGCCCAGAACTAATGACAAGGAACAAAGGCAAAAGAAAAACTGCCACGACCACGGCTTTTCTTTAAAGAAATAAAAGCACAGCAGGGCTCGGTGGCTCAGCCTGTAATCCCGCACCTTTGGGAGGCTGAGGTGAGTGGATTGCCTGAGCCCGCGGGTTCGAGACCCGCCTGGGCAACTTGGCAAGACCTCGTCTCTACAATAAATCAAAAATTAGCTGGGTGTGGTAGCGCACGCCTGTAGTTCCAGCTACTTGGAAGGCTGAGGCGGAAGGATCGCCGGAGCCCAGCGGGTCGAGGCTGCGGTGGCTGGGAGCGGCCATTGCACTCCAGTCTGGGCGACAGAGTGAGACTCCAACTCAAAAAAATGAAAAATAAAATGAAATAAAAAGAAATAAAAGCGCTATTAACATACCCTCCAGCTGCAGCTGCATGTAGACAGGTCCTGCCAAAGTCATCTGGGGTATCTACATCAAATCCTGCAAGAATCAAGACGCCATAAGTTATATATTCTAGATGTGCCACTTTACCTTTAACAACTGTGTTGAGAAATGTCAAGAATCACAGCTGCCCCTTCAGTCCCAAATGAAACCCATTAGTTCTAAAGTGCTAGAGTGAAGGCTGGGTAGTGGCTCATTCCTGTAACCCCAGCACTTCGGAAGGCAGAGGCAAGAGGACTGACTGAGCCCAGGGGTTTGAGACCAGCCTGGGCTACTTGACAAGAGCGTGTCTCTACACAAAAAAAATTAGCCAGGTTAGGTGTAACATGACTGTAGTTTGGAAGGCTAAGGCAGAAGGATTGCCTGAGCCCAGCAGGTCGAGGCTGCGATGGCTGTGATCGTGTCACTGCACTCCAACCTGGGCAATAGAGTAAGACAATGAATGAATGAATGAATAAATAAAATAAAGTGCTAGAATGGTTGTTTAAAAGGCCATGGGACACAATTGAATATTATTAAGCAATAAAAAGAAATAAAGTCTTGAGATTGATACATGGATGACCCTAGAGAGATTACTATGCTAAGAGAAAGAAGCCAGTCACAGAAGACCACATGTTGGGTGACTCCATTTATAGGAAATGTTCAGAAAAGGCATATTTAAAGTCAAAGTAGATTAATGGTTGCTTAGGACTGGGAGAGAAAAGGAGACTAATTGCCAATGGTGTTTCTTTTACAGGGGATGAAGCGATTTTAAAATTGATTGTAATGATGGTTACACACACACCTTTGTGAATGAACTAAAAAACTAAATTGTACACTTTAAATGAGTACGTTGTATGATATGTGAATTATATCTCAATAAAGCTATTTTTAAAAAAAGTCATAGGTGATTTGCTACCTGTGGATTATCTCTTATATTGAAGAAAAGAATTTAGTAGTATTCCTTTCATGATAAATGAGTATATGAATACTTATAGACATATTTAAAAAAAAATCAGAGGCTGGGTGCGGTGGCTCAAACCTGTAATCCCAGCACTTTGGGAGGCAGAGGCGAGACAACTGCCTCAGCTCAGGGGTTCAAGACCAGTCTGGACAACTTGATGAGAACCTCGTCTCTGCAATATATGTAAAAAAAAATTAGCCAGGCATGGTAGGTAGCACACGCCTGTGGTTCGGGCTACTTGGAAGGCCGAGGTGGAAGGATCACTTGAGCCCAGCAGGTTGACGCTGGGGAGGCCGTGAGTGTGCCACAGGACTCCAGCCTGGGTGATAGAGTGAGACTCTGACTCAAAAAAAAAAAAAAAAAAAAAAAAAAAAATCAGAAGTAACTCACATAAAAGAAAAACTCAGAAGTTGTCTATCTCACTCTATAATCTTAATTTTAATGAAAACATTCTTATAATTTTTTTCAGTAAACACGAGTGTTAATATGCAAAACTTGTTCCCATTTTCTTAACACTGAGAAAAAGTATATCATTTAAAGTCAATTAAGCCTTACATATTTAGTAATTTTAAGCATTTAGTAAAGATCAGTTTTATAACAATATTTATAGAAAGCGATTGATCTTATTTTGTTTCAAATCAACAAAGATCATAACATTTTAAACTAGTAATTAGATACTATAATTGTTCTTTTTTTCTTTTTTTAAAGAAAGCAGGATTTATTGAGAGGACAGAAAAGTTTCCACAGTGGGAGGAGATCCAAAGGGGTTGCCCAGATAGTGAATAATTTCAAAACCCTAAAAGATATTATAGAATGCCTCTTGGCTCTCAAAATAGAAGCCAAGACCAATGAGATATGCAAATGAAACTACTGTACTTTCATTCATAAAGGGACAGTCCATGAAGTCTAACATCCACTGAACAGAGGTTGCTCTAGAAATATGCCACATTCCACTCCCCACTCAACAGGCAGAAATCATCAGAAAAAGTTTCCCAGCGCTTAAAAGAAAACAGAGTCCTAAAATTGAAGAACCTAATATCTTCTAAGAGGGGTTAATGAATGATTGAATGATCCATACTTGGACCCATCCATATGTAATTTTGAAAAGGCAGGATAGAGAGACCAAAAAAAAAAAAAGACCCAGTCTGCAAAGGTTCCCCACTTACCTGAAGAAAGGAGCTTCCTGCAGCAATCTGAAAACCCACTTAAGGCTGCCAAGTGGAGGGGGAACATCCCATGAATGCCACGCCTGAAGGAAACAGAACCCACCTTCATTACAACCCAAGAAAAATACAGTTATTAACTAGATCACAAAGAGGCCACTGAAGTCAAAGACAACTAGATGAGTTGAAATCTCTACCACTTTGGAGAATAAACCAGCCAGACGTTCAAGGTGGGCGCAACTTACTCCCCCAGCTATTCTCCCAGAGCAGGGTTTTCAGCCTCAGCACTAATCCTGGGGGAGGGTGAAGGGTGATCATGGACTTGCTGGGAGAGGGCGGAGGGTCCCATGCACACAGGCAGTTCAGCAGCATCCTGGGCTCCACCCATCAGATTTCAGTAACACTTTCCTCCTCAAACCAGGGCAACCAAAATGCTTCTGGACATTTGCTTCTGGAGCAAAATCCACAACCACGTTGCCCCAGTACTGAGCACATTCCCATAATGGTGAAAAACTGGAAGCACCTTATATTTGCAAATAAGAATATACTGTGACAGTAGCAGGAAATTGTGGGGGGTGGGGGAAAGGAGAGGTGGGATTGGCAGTAGTTGGAATCTGCTGAGGGAAGGAGGCACACCTCATCAACAAGGGTACCTGCAGAATGAATACTGTATCCCTAACCCTGAATTGTACCCCACAATTTTAAAATAAAAAATTTAAAAGTTAAAAAAAAATATACTGTGAAATAAATTTTTATATAATAAATGCATTCCACAAAATGAATGAACTAGAGCTAACTGCAGAGATGCAAAAAAATCCAAATTTATATCTACTTGGCTAAAACAACAAGTTAATGTAAACTGTTTTTGAAATGTACAGTATCATACCATTTACAGAAAGTAAAAAGGCTTAAAACTTGTTCATGGATTTATATAAATGCAATGTAAGTACAAACACAGATCAAGATGAACATCAATTTAAGTTTGTTTAAGAAACAATTTAAGAATGTTTACTTTTGCAGAGCATAAGCAGGAGAACCCATCTTTCAAACAAAATTTTACATGGAAACTTTAATACATAAAACAAATAAAATTCAACTGTCTGACCAAAGTGGGCGGGACAAGAAATTATTTGTGGCTGCAACCAAGGAATCCCTGAGACTACACAGCACAGTCTGAAAACCATCATCTGCAGATAGTATTTAGATGTAAAACAGCATATGGCATACACAACTTTTTTTGGGTCTCGTAAGTACCTCTAGATTAAAAATAAAGAGATCACAAACATTAACAGCTCCGACCAAAACTGCATACTACTTAAGTGCGAGAAAGAACTGGGTGAGACATTTAACAGTACTCTACACTGGCTTACCAAATAAAGCCAAAATTAAACACACTAATCTACCACACTGTCCATACAAAAATGAAGAAGTTTAAGCAATTAGTCCAATACTGAGGACTGAGCCCACACTTCCACCCGAACTGCCTGGGGAAGAACAGATCACGTCCTTTCACACTTCCCAGCTAGCAACACCTGGTTAAGGACCACTTACTTTGCAGTGTCAGCACCACTTGTGATAAGAGTGTTGATCAGCAGCTCGTGGCCATACCGTGCCGCGATGTGCAAAGGGGTGTTTCCATTCTTGTCCTCACAGTCGATTACAGCTCCTGCAAAGGACTTACTGTCACATAATGGACTATACAAAGATCATGTCAAACTCAATACATGAAAAGTAACATAAAATGTAGCTCATCTACAAAGTAATGGATACCACAATTACAATTAGATTTCATTCATAATATATTTATTGAATCAGGCACTGGGATTATATATTTGATACATAAAACTATTTTGTGAATTAAGTATAAGATTTTGATAGATTTGTTTATTTATTTGTTTATTTATTTTTGAGTTGGAACCTCACTCTGTAGCCCAGACTGGAGTGCAGTGGCATGCTCCCGGCCACCGCAGCCTCGACCCGCTGGGCTCCAGCGATCCTAACGCTTCAGCCTTCCAAGTAGCTGGAACTACAGGCACGCGCTACCATGCCTGGCTAATTTTTGATTTATTGTAGAGACACGGTCTCGCCAAGTTGCCCAGGTATATCTCCAACCCACGGGGCTCAAGCAATCCACTTGCTTTGCCCAAAGTTCTGGGATTACAGGCTGAGCCACAGACAAGATTTTGATAGATTTTAAGTTGACAAAAGCATTATGGGGCTCAGTAACTTTGGAAAGCACTGTATTAAAAAAAATTTAAACAAAGTTCTTTGGAGCAAAACTTAAGAGCATTAATGTCCATACTCTGTGTGTCATCAAGACTACATGCAATGCTTCAAAAACTACTTGATCATGAACCTATGTGAACTTTCTCTCCTGCAAAACCAAAACACCTATTACCTTGAGGATAACTGACAAACAGTTCCTTGGAACATAGTTTTGAGAACAATGATTTAAAGTAATATATCTGGCTGGGTTTGGTGGCTCAGCCTGTAATCCCAGCACTTTGGGAGGCCAAGGTGAGTGGATTGCATAAACCCGCAGATTTGAGACCAGCCCAGCCAATTTGGTGAGACTTCATCTTTAAAATAAATAAAAAATTAGCCAGGAATGGTAGCACACGCCTTTATAGTTCCAGCTACTTGGAAGGCTGAGGCGGTAGGATCGCCAGAGCCCAGTGGGTCGAGCTGGGGTGGCTGTGAGCATGCCACTGCACTCCAGCCAGGGTGACAGAGACTTCAACTCAAAAATAAATAAATAAATAAAGTAATAAAGTAATAAACTAAGTTCTCTTGATTTACAAGCTTAATTTGCCTACTACTAAGCCAAACACAAAAGAATAAAAGTTCAGAGCCAGGCTCGGTGGCTCAGCCTGTAATCCCGCGCCTTGGGAGGCTGAGGTGAGTGAAATGCCTGAGCCCGTGGGTTCGAGACCTGCCTGGGCAACTTGGTGAGACCTCATCTCTACCATAAATAAAAAAAAAATTAGCCGGGCATGGTAGTGTGAGCCTGTAGTTCCAGCTGCTTGGAAGGCTGAGGTGGAAGGATCACCAGAGCCCAGCACGTCAGGCTGTGGTGGCCGGGAGCAGCCACTGCACTCCAGTCTGGGCGACAGAGTGAGACTCCAACTCAAAAAAAAAAAAGAATAAAAGTTCAGGAAATAAAAATCCTAACAATATTTCAAGGTATTCAAAAGAGGAAATGATAAATGAAGAATATATACATTATCATATAATACAAAATGTGGCAGAAAGGCAGTTTTCTATTTAAGCAATATTGAAAAAAGTCAAAACTAACTGCTGAAGAAATACTGTAATTCAGGAGAGACAAAAATAAATGAAAAACTAAATTATGAAAGACAAATATACATGACATTTTACACTTAAAAAAATTAAATTTAAAAAAAAAAAAAAAAAAGCCGGGCTTGGTGGCTCAGCCTGTAATCCCGCGCCTTTGGGAGGCTGAGGTGAGTGGATTGCCTGAGCCCGCGGGTTTGAGACCTGCCTGGGCAGCGAGACCTCATCTCTACCATAAATCAAAAAAAAAAAAAATTCAGCTGGGCATGGTAGTGCATGCCTGTAATTCCGGCTACTTGGAAGGCTGAGGCGGAAGGATCGCCGGAGCCCAGCAGGTCGAGGCTGTGGTGGCCGGGACCGC